CCAGGGTGTGCGGCGGCAACTCCAGCAGCGTGGCTGCGAACGCCCTCTGGGCGCGACCGCAGCCAAGCCTGTCCAGCGGTGTAGGTACGCCGCCCGCGCCGACGCTCGGAGTCGCTGCGGCGCGCTGCGGGCTCTGGTCCTGGCGAGCAGCCGGACGAAGGTCAGGGCCTCCTCGGACCACCTGCCGCCGACTTCCAAGCCCAGCACAACCAATCGGCATCTCCTTGACCCGATGAGCTCGGGGTAGGTCGCTTCCTTCCGGCCCCGCGCGACCGCGAGCTGGACTCCGTCCTCGTCCGCGGCTCTGGGCTGCGCGGTGCTGTCGGTGCGGACTGGCGACACCAGGGTCGCGTCAATCGCCAGCTGCGCTCCTCCCCAGAGCGGCAGGCCGTTCGCGATGACCTCGATCTTGCGCCCGTCGCGGGGGTCGACGCCGTCCACGTTGAGGTCTCGCAGGAGCTGGTTCTCTGCGACTCGGCCCCCGGCCTCGCGGCAGATACGTGCAGCCGCTTTCTCCAATGGGATGGATCTCTTCTTGAGCACCCCTGCCCTTGGGCACGCCGCTCTGTGGTCACCTCTGGCGTCCAGTCTGTCTCTGCATCTGCAAGCGCTCGCTGCGAAGGGTAAATCAAATCTCAAGCGCCTGAGGAGCAGGACTCTGAATTCTGCCGGCGGGCTGTGGAAGTCCCCCGTCGTGGGCAGCGCGGTGAAGGCTTGTCCCGCGCACGGCCCGCTCTGTGACCGGAGGAGGGCGCGGTCCGGTGGCGTGGAGGCGTTGAGGAGCTGCTGTCGGGCTGTGTTCTCCAAGACTTTTTTTTTTTTTTTTTTTTTGTTTTTTCTCTTTCCCTCCCAGTCCCAGTCCCAGTCCCTGGCCGAGTCCGCAGCGAAAGGGGCCGCTGCACCTGGCTCCCTCTGGCCGGCCCCCTGGCTGGGCTGCCGACGCCCGCGGTCGCCTTAGGCGGCCCGGCGGGCCCGCCGGCCACCGCGCGGTCTTCGCGCCGCCAGCCGCCGCCGCCCGCCGCCCGCCCGGCCGAGCCGCCCTGCGTGCCTCGGCCGCGAAGCCGCGGGAGCGCACGAGGCCCTGGCCCGGCCGGCTCCGCTCCGTGCCCGGGCAAGGCCGCCCGCGAAGGCCGCCAGAGCTGCCCCAGCCCGGCGGCCCGCGGCCGCAGCGCCCGCCGGCCCTGCCCGCCTGCCGTAACCCACGACGTCGGGTCCCAGCTTGGCGTCCAGCATCGCGCTGAGCAGCACGAATGCCTGTTGCCACTGCCCCCTCTTCTCGCCCGCGCTGATCCCAGCATTGTAGCTGATGACACTTGGCGCCACCTTCGCCTCCCACATCTCGCTGGGCAGCGAGAGAGCCCGCTGCCACTGCTCGCCGTTCGTGCACGCGCTGATCCCAGAGCTGTAGCTGATGACACTTGGCTCCACCTTCGCCTCCCGCATCTCGCTGAGCAGTGGGAGAGCCTGCTGCCACTGCTCGCCGTTCGTACACGCTCTGATCCCAGTGCTGATCCCAGAGTTGTAGCTGATGGCATCTGGCTCCGACCTCACTCCCCACATCTCGCAGAACAGCGATAGAACCCGCTGCCACTGCTCGCCTTTCGTGCGCGCGCTGATCCCAGAGCTGTAGCTGATAACATTCGGCGCCGATCTCACTTCCCACATCCCGCTGAGCAGTGGTAGAGCCCGCTGCCACTGCTCGTCTTTCGTGCGCGCGCTGATCCCAGAGCTATAGCTGATGGCATCTGGCTCCACCTTCGCCTCCCACATCTCGCTGAGCAGCGAGAGGGCCCGCTGCCACTGCTCGCCGTTCGTCCACGCGCTGATCCCAGAGCTGTAGCTGATGACACTTGGCTCCACCTTCGCCTCCCGCCTCTCGCTGAGCAGTGGGAGAGCCTGCTGCCACTGCTCGCCGTTCGTACACGCTCTGATCCCAGGGCTGACCCCAGAGCTGTAGCTGATGGCATCTGGCTTCGACCTCACTTCCTTTTTTTGTTCCTTCCTCTCCCAGTCCCAGTCCCAGTCCCTGGCCGAGCCCGCAGCGAAAGGGGCCGCTGCACCTGGCTCCCTCCGGCTGGCCCCCTGGCTGGGCTGCCGACGCCCGCGGTCGCCTTAGGCGGCCCGGCGGGCCCGCCAGCCGCCGCGCGGTCTTCGCGCCGCCAGCCGCCGCCGCCCGCCGCCCGCCCGGCCGAGCCGCCCTGCGTGCCTCGGCCTCGAAGCCGCGGGAGCGCTCGAGGCCCTGGCCCGGCCGGCTCCGCTCCGTGCCCGGGCAAGGCCGCCCGCGAAGGCCGCCAGAGCTGCCCCAGCCCGGCGGCCCGCGGCCGCAGCGCCCGCCGGCCCTGCCCGCCTGCCGTAACCCACGACGTCGGGTCCCAGCTTCGCGTCCAGCATCGCGCTGAGCAGCACGAATGCCTGTTGCCACTGCCCCCTCTTCTCGCCCGCGCTGATCCCAGCATTGTAGCTGATGACACTTGGCGCCACCTTCGCCTCCCTCATCTCGCTGGGCAGCGAGAGAGCCCGCTGCCACTGCTCGCCGTTCGTGCACGCGCTGATCCCAGAGCTGTAGCTGATGACACTTGGCTCCACCTTCGCCTCCCGCATCCCGCTGAGCAGTGGGAGAGCCTGCTGCCACTGCTCGCCGTTCGCACACGCTCTGATCCCAGGGCTGATCCCAGAGTTGTAGCTGATGGCATCTGGCTCCGACCTCACTTCCCACATCTCGCAGAACAGCGATAGAGCCCGCTGCCACTGCTCGCCTTTCGTGCGCGCGCTGATCCCAGAGCTGTAGCTGATGACATTCGGCTCCGATCTCACTTCCCACATCCCGCTGAGCAGTGATAGAGCCCGCTGCCACTGCTCGTCTTTCGCGCACGCGCTCATCCCAGAGCTATAGCTGATGGCATCTGGCTCCACCTTCGCCTCCCGCATCTCGCTGAGCAGCGATAGAGCCCGCTGCCACTGCTCGCCGTTCGTCCACGCGTTGATCCCAGAGCTGTAGCTGATGACACTTGGCTCCACCTTCGCCTCCCGCATCTCGCTGAGCAGTGGGAGAGCCTGCTGCCACTGCTCGCCGTTCGTACACGCTCTGATCCCAGGGCTGATCCCAGAGTTGTAGCTGATGGCATCTGGCTCCGATCTCACTTCCCACATCTCGCAGAGCAGCGAGAGAGCCCGCTGCCACTGCTCGCCTTTCGTGCACGCGCTGATCCCAGAGCTGTAGCTGATGACATTCGGCTCCGATCTCACTTCCCACATCCCGCTGAGCAGTGATAGAGCCCGCTGCCACTGCTCGTCTTTCGCGCACGCGCTGATCCCAGAGCTATAGCTGATGGCATCTGGCTCCACCTTCGCCACCCGCCTCCCACATCTCGCTGGGCAGTGAGAGAGCCCGCTGCCACTGCTCGCCTCTCGCGCATGCGCTGATCCCAGAGCTGTAGCTGATGACACTTGGCTCCACCTTCGGCTCCCACATCTCGCTGAGCAGTGGGAGAGCCTGCTGCCACTGCTCGCTGTTCGCGCACGCGCTGATCCCAGAGTTGTAGCTGATGGCATCTGGCTCCAACCTCACTTCCCCAATCTCGCAGAGCAGCGATAGAGCCCGCTGCCACTGCTCGCCTTTCGTGCATGCGCTGATCCCAGAGCTGTAGCTGATGACGCTTGGCTCCACCTTCGCCTCCCGCATCTCGCTGAGCAGCGGGAGAGCCTGCTGCCACTGCTCGCCGTTCGTACACGCTCTGATCCCAGGGCTGATCCCAGAGTTGTAGCTGATGGCATCTGGCTCCGGCCTCACTTCCCACATCTCGCAGAACAGCGATAGAGCCCGCTGCCAATGCTCGCCGTTCGTCCACGCGCTGATCCCAGAGCTGTAGCTGAGGACATTCGGCTCCGATCTCACTTCCCGCATCCCGCTGAGCAGTGATAGAGCCCGCTGCCGCTGCTCGTCTTTCGCGCACGCGCTGATCCCAGAGCTGTAGCCGATGGCATCTGGCTCCACCTTCGCCTCCCCCATCTCGCTGGGCAGTGAGAGAGCCCGCTGCCACTGCTCGCCTCTCGCGCACGCGCTGATCCCAGAACTGTAGCTGATGACACTTGGCTCCACCTTCGCCTCCCACATCTCGTTGAGCAGTGGGAGAGCCTGCTGCCACTGCTCGCCGTTCGCGCACGCGCTGATCCCGGAGTTGTAGCTGATGGCATCTGGCTCCAACCGCACTTCCCAAATCTCGCAGAGCAGCGATAGAGCCCGCTGCCACTGCTCGCCTTTCGTGCACGCGCTGATCCCAGAGATGTAGCTGATGACGCTTGGCTCCACTTTCGGCTCCCACATCTCGCAGAGCAGCGATTGAGCCCGCTGCCACTGCTCGCCGTTCGTACACGCGCTGATCCCAGGGCTGCTCCCAGAGTTGTAGCTGATGGCATCTGGCTCCAACCTCGCTTCCCACATCTCGCAGAGCAGCGATAGAGCCCGCTGCCACTGCTCGCCTTTCGCGCACGCGCTGATCCCAGAGCTGTAGCTGATGACGCTTGGCTCCACCTTCGCGTCCCACATCTCGCTGAGCAGTGGGAGAGCCTGCTGCCACTGCTCGCCGTTCGCATACGCGCTGATCCCAGGGCTGTATCTGATGCCATTCGGCTCCGACCTCACTTCCCACATCCCGCTGAGCCGTGGTAGAGCCCGCTGCCACTGCTCGTCTTTCGCGCAGGTGCTGATCCCAAAGCTATAGCTGATGTCACTTGGCTCCACCTTCGCCTCCCACATCTCGTTGGGCAGTGAGAGAGCCCGCTGCCACTGCTCGCCTCTCGCGCGTGCGCTGATCCCAGAGCTGTAGCTGATGACGCTTGGCTCAGCCATCACCTCCCGTCTTCCTCCTCCTCCTCCTCCACGTCCTGACTCCCTGGCTCGCTGCCACTGCCGGCTGACGTCGAGCGCGATTATCTTCGCCTCCTCCTCCTCCTCCTCGACCTTGTCCTGCTCGTCCGCTGCCTTCTCCTCCTCTCCTATTTCCTCCTCTGCCGCCTCGCTCTCCTCCCTGGCTCGCTGCCACTGCCGCTGCCCATTTTTCGCACGTGCGCTGGCCCCAGCGATGCAACTGATGACGTTGGGCCCCAGTTTGGGAATCAGCAGCGCCATAGCCTGCTGCCACTGCTCCCTTGTCTCGCAGGCGCGGCTGGGTCTGGACTCCAGGCGGGGGTGGGGCGGGCGGGGGACGGAGGACGAGGGGGCGAGGGGCACGAGCCGGGCCCGAACGGCGAGGGGCGAACGACGCGGGGGCAGGGGGCGAACGAGACGGGACCGAGACGAGGGGACAGAGGCCGAGGGAAAGGCGAGGGGAAGGGGCGGTGGGCGTCGTCGGTGCGCGCCGTCGTGCAGGTGCGCGTCGTTGCTGCTGGTCGTTGCAGGTGGTGCCCGTCGTTGCTGGGGGTCGTGTTGCCGGTCGGAAGTGGTGCTGGTCGCAGTCGTGGTGGTGCTGCTGCTGGTCGTGGTCGTGTTGATGGTGCTGCTGCTGGTTGCGGTCGTGGTAGTGCTGCTGCTGGTCGCAGTCGTGGTGCTGCGAGTCGTAATCGTGGTGGTGTTGGTGGTCGCAGTCGTGGTGGTGCTGGTTGTGCTGGTGGTGCTGGTCTTGGTGGTGGTGCTGCTGCTGCTGGTCGCAGTCGTGGTGGTGCTGCTGCTGGTCGAAGTCGTGGTGTTGCTGGTCGCAGTTTTGGTGCTGCTGGTCGCAGTCGTGGTGGTGCTGCGGGTTGCAGTCGTGGTGGTGCTGGTAGTGGTTCTGCGGCTGGTCGCAGTCGTGGCGCTGCAGGTCGCAGTCGCGGGGCTGCTGGTCGCAGTCGTGTTGGTGCTGCTGGTCGCGGTTGTGGTGGTGCTGCTTGTCGTGGTGGTGCTAGTCGTAGTAGTGGTGGTGCTGGTTGTGCTGGTGGTGCTGGTGCTGCTGTTGGCCGTGGTGGTGGAGCTGCTGGTGGCAGTCGTGGTGGTGCTGCTGCTGGTCGTGGTCGTGGTGTTGCTGGTGGCAGTCGTAGTGCTGCTGGTAGTAGTCGTGGTGGTGCTGCTGGTCGCGGTCGAGGTGGTGCTGCTGCTGGTCGTGGTGGTGCTGCTGCTGGTCGCGGTCGTGGTGGTGCTGGTTGTAGTCGTGGTGGTGCTGCTGGTCGCAGTCGTGGTATTGCTGGTTGTGCTGGTGGTGCTCGTCGTGGTGGTGCTGCTGGTCGCTGTCTCGGTGCTGCTGCTCCCGGTTGCGGTCGTGGCGCTGCTGGTCGCAGTCGTGGTGCTGCTGGTCGTGGTCGTGGTGGTGCTGCGGGTCGCGGTCGTAGTGGTGGTACTGCTGGTCGTTGTCGTGGTGGTGCTGCTGCTGGTCGCAGTCGTGGTGCTGCTGGTCGCAGTCGTGGCGCTGCTGGTCTGTGGTGCTGCTGGTCGCCGTCGTGTTGGTGCTGGTGGTGCTGCTGGTCGTGGTGGTGCTGCTGGTCTTGTGGTGCTGCTGCTGGTCGCAGTCGTGGTGGTGCTGGTCGTAGTGGCGGTGGTGCTGCTGGTCGCAGTCGTGGTAGTGGTAGTGCTGGTTGTGCTGGTGGTGCTGGTCGTGGCGGTGCTGCTGGTCGCAGTCTCGGTACTGCTGCTCCCGGTTGCAGTCGTGGTGTTGCTGGTCGCTGTCGTGGTGCTGCTGGTCGTGGTCGTGGTCGTGGTGGTGCTGCGGGTCGCAGTCGTGGTGGTGGTGCTGCTTGTCGCAGTCGTGGTGGTGCTGCTGCTGGTCGCAGTCGTGGTGCTGCTGGTCGCAGTCGTGGCGCTGTTGGTCGCGGTCGTGGGGCTGCTGGTCGCCGTCGTGGTGGTGCTGGTGGTGCTGCTGGTCGTGGTGGTGGTGCTGCTGGTCGTTGTGGCGCTGCTGCTGGTTGCAGTCGTAGTGGTGCTGGTCGTAGTCGATGTGGTGCTGCTGGTCGCAGTCGTGGTGGTGCTGCTTGTGCTAGTGGTACTGGTGGTGCTGCTGGTCGTGGTGGTGGTGGTGCTGCTGGTCGTAGTCGTGGTGATGCTGCTGGTCGCAGGCGTCGTGCTGCTGGTCGCAGCCGTGGTGCTCCTGGTCGTGGTCGTGGTGGTGCTGCGGGTCGCGGTCGTGGTGGTGGTGCTGCTGGTCGCAGTCATGGTGGTGCTGCTGCTGGTCGCAGTCGTGGTGCTGCTGGTCGCAGTCGTGGCGCTGCTGGTCGCGGTCGTGGGGCTGCTGGTTGCCGTCGTGGTGGTGCTGGTGGTGCTACTGGTCGTGGTGGTGCTGCTGCTGGTTGCAGTCGTGGCGGTGCTGGTCGTAGTCGTGGTGGTGCTGCTGGTCGCAGTCGTGGTGGTGCTGCTTGTGCTAGTGGTGCTGGTGGTGCTGCTGGTCGTGGTGGTCGTGGTGCTGCTGGTCGTGGTCGTGGTGGTGCTGCGGGTCGCTGTCGTGGTGGTGCTGCTGGTCGCAGTCGTGGTGGTGCTGCTGCTGGTCGCAGTCGTGGTGCTGCTGGTCGCAGTCGTGGCGCTGTTGGTCGCGGTCGTGGGGCTGCTGGTCGCCGTCGTGGTGGTGCTGGTGGTGCTGCTGGTCGTGGTGGTGGTGCTGCTGGTCGTTGTGGCGCTGCTGCTGGTTGCAGTCGTAGTGGTGCTGGTCGTAGTCGTGGTGGTGCTGCTGGTCGCAGTCGTGGTGGTGCTGCTTGTGCTAGTGGTGCTGGTGGTGCTGCTGGTCGTGGTGGTGGTGGTGCTGCTGGTCGTAGTCGTGGTGATGCTGCTGCGCAGGCGTCGTCTGCTGGTCGCAGCCGTGGTGCTTCTGGTCGTGGTCGTGCTCGTGGTGGTGGTGCGGTCGCAGTCGTGGTGGTGCTGCTGCTGGTCGCAGTCGTGGTGGTGCTGCTGGTCGCAGTCGTGGTGCTGCTGGTCGCAGTCGTGGTGCTGCTGGTCGCAGTCGTGGGGCTGCTGGTCGCCGTCGTAGTGGTGCTGGTGGTGCTGCTGGTCGTGGTGGTGGTGCTGCTGGTCGTTGTGGTGCTGCTGCTGGTTGCAGTCGTGGCGGTGCTGGTCGTAGTCGTGGTTGTGCTGCTGGTCGCAGTCGTGGTGGTGCTGCTTGTGCTGGTGGTGCTGGTGGTGCTGCTGGTCGTGGTGGTGGTGGTGCTGCTGCTGGTCGTAGTCGTGGTGGTGCTGCTGCTTGTCGCAGTCGTCGTGCTGCTGGTAGCAGTCGTGATGCTGGTCGTTGTCGTGGCGGTGCTGGTCGTAGTGGTGGTGGTGCTGCTGGTCGCAGTCGTGGTAGTGCTGGTTGTGCTGGTGGTGCTGGTCGTGGTGGTGCTGCTGGTCGCTGTCTCGGTGCTGCTGCTCCCGGTTGCAGTCGTGGTGTTGCTGGTCGCTGTCGTGGTGCTGCTGGTCGTGGTCGTGGTCGTGGTGGTGCTGCGGGTCGCTGTCGTGGTGGTGGTGCTGCTGGTCGCAGTCGTGCTGCTGCTGGTCGCAGTCGTGGCGCTGCTGGTCGCAGTCGTGGGGCTGCTGGTCGCCGTCGTGGTGGTGCTGGTGGTTCTACTGGTAATGGTGGTGGTGCTGCTGGTCGTTGTGGTGCTGCTGCTGGTTGCAGTCGTGGTGGTGCTGGTCGTAGTCGTGGTGGTGCTGCTGGTCGCAGTCGTGGTGGTGCTGCTTGTGCTGGTGGTGCTGGTGGTGCTGCTGGTCGTGGTGGTGGTGCTGCTGCTGGTCGTAGTCGTGGTGGTGCTGCTGTTGGTCGCAGTCGTGGTGCTGCTGGTCGCAGTCGTGGTGCTCCTGGTCGTGGCCGTGGTGGTGCTGCGGGTCGCTCTCGTGGTGGTGGTGTTGGTGGTTTTGCTGCGGGTCGCAGTCGAAGCGATGGTGCTGCTGGTCGCCGTTGTGGTGGTGGTGGTGGTACTGCTGACCTCCTCGTGGTGCCCGCTGCCGTGTCGGGGGTGCTCCCGGCGCTCGTCGGAGCCCCCCGGGGCGGCCGTGCTGGCCGCGGCGCCAAGCATCAGGGGCGTGCTGGCAGGCGGCTAGCGGGTGGGCCGGCGGAGTCTGCGAGCAGCACTTCGGCCAGGTCTGGGTCGTCCTCCCCGGCGGCTCCTCCCAAGGCTAGGTAGCCGTCGCCCGTCAGGGTGGCCATGAGCGAGTCCTGGGCCGCAACGCTCAGGAACCCCCACCAGCGGTTGGTGTACGCGAGCTCCGCGGAGCGGCGGAGGAGGGCCGGCGCGGCCCGCGCCTTCTGCTTGGCAAGCAGGCGTACCAGCTGGAGGGAATCGCGGCCCCACCTGCCTCCGACCTCGCAGGAGAGGACCATGAGGCGGCCTGAATGGCCGGTCGTGAATTCGTGGTACCTGCGTCGTTTGCGCCTTTCGGCCTCAAGTAGCGCGGCGCCGTCGGTGTCGAAGGTGCGCGGCCGGTGCCAGCCGTCCCTGCGGAGGGGGGACACCATGGTGCTGTCGCAGCACAGCGGGACGCCGTTCGGCGAGATGCCGTAGACGACTAGGTCTAATTGTCTGCGGTCCAGCGGGTTGTGGACAACGGCGTTAGTGTCCCGCAGCAGCTGTTGGGGGACAACTCTCCCTCCTGCTTCTCTGGCGACCCTCGCCCAAGCTCGTTCGAGCGGTTTCGCGCGTCTGGCGAGAAGCCCCGTGCGTGGGCACGCGGCTAGGTGGTCTCCCAGCGTGTCCAGCCGGGCCCGGCAGCCTGGGTGGCCGGCTGCCCCGCACGCGTGCGGGAGGAGCGGCAGCGGGAGCCTGAGGCGCCGGCGCAGGGCTGCCAGGAACCGCGCGGGCTTGAACACGTGCCCCTCGGTGGTGGGTAAGGTGTGAAGCCAGTAGGCGGCCCTCGGTCCTGAGCCTGACCTTAGCATGGCCTGGTTGGCCCTGGTGAGGCTGGGCATGAACACGTTGTCCCTGTAGTGTGTGTTGCGTGCGGAACAAGCGTGGAACTGCCAGCCGTGCTGCCATTCCCCCGGTTCGGCGGCCTCCGAGCGCGGCGGCGCTTCTGGGCGCAGCCCCTGGAGCAGGTCGGTCCAGGAAGGTCTCCGGAAGCCTTCGGTTTCGAGCAGCTGTGCGGCCGCGGCGGCCGCGGCAAGGTTGCCCCTACGGCCGGGCCTGGTGCCGTCGAGGAGGTCCCTGATCGCTGCAGCTTCAACGGGGCGCCGTTGGTGGAGCATGTGTAGGGCGTCTGCCCATGCGCCCCAGTAGGCCGCTGGGGACGTGCGCGCGGCGCTTTGGAGCCCGAGTCCTCCGTGTCGTCCAGGCATTGCTGCCAGTGCGCGCGCCCGTCGCTCTTCGTCTTGCGACATTGCGGGGTCCCCGAGGAGGCGGCGCAGGGTGGCCCACATGTCGCCGTCGTGGCCTCTCGCGTATTCTGCGATTTCCTCTGGCGGCAGGGTTCGCAGCAGGTGGTTGGCCCGCGGGGAGGCGCAAAGGAGGAGGAGGAGCCAAGCGCACTGTAGGTCGGGCAGGTGCGCCAGTTCGTCCAGGAGTCTCCTCTCTTCCTGTAGTCTGCTCTCCAGGTGTGCGGCGACGAATTCTGGGGTGCCTAGGGGGGTGCCAAGGATCTTGATTCCTCGGTCGGGTGGTGCTCTGTCACCCCTCCAGACGTCTTGCCCCAGCTCGCCAATTCCGGGCGGCGCTGCGCCTCCGCCCCTGCTGTAGGCCCGGCACTTGCCAAGGTGGCAATCCACGTTTGCGTGGAGGTGAATTGCTCCGGTGGTGGTGTCGAAAGCGGCTCTGGCCCTGGCCCGGGTGGTCTTGATGTACACGTCGTCCAAGAAAGCGACTAGGAAGTCCCCTTGCTCTAGGGTCCTGGAGGCGCCCGCCAGCGCTCCGTGCAGGGCAAGAGCGAAGAGGGCTGGGGCCAGCGCGTCCCCCTGCTCCACTCCCTCTCCCTGGTGCACGTCGTGCACAGTCCCCACTTCGTCTTGCCAGAGGTAGGTGGGGTCTTGCCCGTACCACATCTTCACGAAGGGGATTAGGCCGGCCAGCTCTGGGCGAGCAAGGAGCTCCTGGAAGAAGGCCGACCTCGACACATGGTCGAAGGCCCCGACTCCGTCGATGCTGACAATCACTGCGTCGTCGTCGTGGTCCAGCACTGACCTCAGCAGCATGGCAGCGCAGTCGGTTCCTGCCCGCGTCGTCAGGGCGAACTGGAAGGGCGCAGTTGCGGCCGCGAACTGCTCGGCGAACTGTTGAGCGAGCGCCCTGGTGACCAGTCGGCGGAAAACGTCGCCGGTGGCGATGCCCCGTACTCCGTTGTCTGGTTTCTGGAGCGCCGTCATCTTGCAGAGGGCTAGAGCGCGGGCAATCGGGGAGGGCACCCGCGCCTCCGCGAGGGCAGCGGCGGCGAATCCAAGCAGGTCCATGGACTCTTCGTGTTCCAGCAGCGGCTTGAGGTGCTCAACGCGGACCCCCGACGGTCCTGCTGCCGTGCCCTTTTTGGCGGACCGGAGGCAAGCGAGGAATTTGGTCTTGTCGAGTCTCGCTCTGTCGGTTGCGCGGTCTAGGTTGGCGGGTAGTCGGCGGCTCAGGGTAGGCGGTCGGCGGGCCGGGTCCCGCAGCCTGTTTAGTGTCTCCCCGTTGCCGGGCGCAATCGCCGCCGCGGTCAAGACCTGTCTCCCCCGTGACGGGTTGCCGTTTCGGACGTGCGCGCAAGCCTGTTCTCTGCGTCTCTCCTGCTGTTGCTCCTCTGTGGCTGGCCTCGGCGCTGCGCGCGCGCCGGCCGTGGTGTTGGCCTCGTGTAGCAGGGCCAGCCAGTCGCCCTGGCGGAACCGTTGGGCGCGTTCCAAGAGCTCTTGTCGGCCCTCGGCGTCGGTACCCTTGGGCTTGCTTAGCAGGAGCCTCGAGGCGAGGAGGAACAGTGTCCATCCTTGGTGGGTTGTTGCTTGGTTGCCCTGGTCGTGTCCTCGCTTGATCCTCTTCAGGGCCGTGGTGAACGCCATCCGGGTCTCCGCGCGCAGGAAACGTGGCACGTTCTGTAGTGTCGGCACGAATCTCCGTAGCTCTTGTTGGAGGTCGATGCTCCCGAGAGCTGCCCAGGACTCTTCGGTGGGTCCGTTGCTCGGGGCTGGGGCCTGCGCTGGTTCGGCCTCGTGGTCGGTCTCCTCGGTGCTGGAGTTGCTGCCGCCGTCGTTGGCGTCTCCCTCCTCCGCGTCCGTGTTTCCGCCGTCGCTGCCGCTGCTCGGGCTTCCGCCTCCCCCTTCTCCGCCGCCTCGGCCTCTTCTGGCGCCTCTTCCTCGTCTGCTTTCTCTGGCGCCTCTTCCGCTTCTGTCTCCGGGGGCGCCTCTGCCCACCACGGCGGCAGGGCCGTTCGCGTGCTGGTCTCCAGGCAGCTCCGGCTCCTGGGGCGCCTCTTGGCGGTGGGAGCGGCGGCGGAGGCGCCGCGTCTGCCCAGAAGCCTGGGTTGCGCAGCTCGTTTGTGCGTGCGTCAACTCCTCGTGCAAGCACGCCGCCGCCGAAGGCTTCGAGGAGGAGGTCTTGCACCAGCGGCTGTATGTAGCCGGTGCTGCTGTGCGCCACGGCCTGGGCGACTGGCGCAAAGGATACGTGCCCTGGGCGCTCTCCTCCGTCTGCAGCAAGCACCGCTGGTACTTCCCCGGGCCGAGCGTCGGTGTACGCCAGCATTTGGACAAAGGGCCCTGTGAGCACAGGTCCTGCAAGCCGCAACGTCTCTACCGTCGGCTGCCACCAGGCCTGTGTGAGGCGGTGCTCACTCCACTGCGCCCCTTCGCTTGGGTCTAAAAGCCCGGCGGCCGCTAGCAGCAGGGGCACGTGCACTGCCGAGTTGGTGCGTGCCTGGAGGGGCGCTTGCGGTGGGGCCCAGCCGGCGAAAGGGCTGTGTTGTGGCGGCCTCGCGGCGGCTCGCTCTGGCCCTGGCGGGGGGGCTGGTGGTGATGGCTCTGGACCTGGCGGGGCTGGTGGTGGGGCAGAAGGCACTTCTCTGGTCCAGGCGTCTGGTTCGCACCGAGCGCACCTCCATTCGCCTTCGGCCGTGCTGGCTTCCGCGGTCCACGTGCCCTGCTCTAGGCACCTCGCGCACATCTGTTGGCCGCTCTGTGGCGCGATCGTGTCGACAGCGCAGCGCGCCCCGCAGCGTGGGCAAAGCCATGACTCAAGCCACTGCGTGATCATCCCGTTGGTGTCGCTTGCAGCGATCTCCGGGGACCATTCCATGCGGCGGTCTGGCACTTCGGAGAATTCGGGCGGTGGGCCGAGGCGTCGGCAGCAGAGCGCTCGGAGCAGCGGTGGCTCCCGTGGTGGTGGTTCTTCGCCTCGCGCGTAGCTCCGAAACCCATTGTAATCTGGGACGGCCTGGGCGCTGGTGTCGTGGGCCGGGGGCGGGTGTCGGTCTATGTCCACGCCCTGCGCGGCGCACCATGCCCGCAACTCGGCGGTGATCGGGAGTCTGGCTCGGCACTGCGGGCAAGTGGTGGCTTCGCCAAGGTGGCGGGCCAAGTCGGCGCGGCAGCCCAAGTGGAAGTGGGCGCCACAGCATGCCTCCTGTGTTGGTGTGTCCCTGCCCGCCCCATGGTGCGGGATCACTTCCTGGCAGACGACGCAGATGTTGGCGTCTTCTGCCGGCGCTGGTGGTCGGTCTGGCTCCTCCCGCGCTGTTGCTGCCGCTTCTGCTACCTCGCCCTGCCTGTCGCCGTGCGGGGCGAATGAGCCCGCAAAATTCCATCCGCCTTCTGGCGCCCTCCCGAAGACGGCGCCGAAGTGGTCCGGCACGGCTGGCGCGCCAAGCTGAAACCCTGCGGCTTGTAGCCGGAGCAGAGCCCGTGGTGGGGTCTCTTCCTGCGACGGGATTGGCGCCGCGCCGCCGGGTGCGTGCTCTGGCGACTCTGGTGGTGACGTCGTGTGTCTCGGGCGCGGTGTTCGGGGGCTGTCCCCGGGTGCGTCTGGGGGTCCTGGGTGGCTGGCCTCGCCCACTCGAACGCCTCGGTAACCCCATCGCGCGTCGCGGCGGCTTTTGGAGGGGTTGCGCTGGTGCTGCTGCTCGTGGTGGTGCACGTCGTGGTGGTCTTGGTCGCTGCGTTGTGCTGTGCGCTGGTGTTCTTGCGCGTGGTGCTGGTCGCGGTCGTGGGCGTTGTTGCCGCTGCGGTGCTCCTCGTCGCGCTGGTGTTGCTGCGCGTGGTGTTGGTGGTCGCGGTGGTCGCTCTGCTGGTGCAAGGTGCCTTCTGCTGCTTCTCCTGCTGCGGCCGCCCGTTTGCGCGCGGCTCTGGTGCGAGGGCTTGCCCTCGTCGCCTTTGCGCGCCAGGTAGAAGCGGTGGCCCCCGTTTCTGGGAGCTGCGGGGCTGCCGGTGTGAGCAAGGGTGGCGGGAGGGCAATGGCGGTAGCTGCAGTTCTGCGTTGCCCTTGTCGGCCCGGCGCGGGCAGGACATGGTGGTAGCATCGTGGGCTGCCACTGGACGGAAGTGGCATCCTCGTGTTGGCAACGCTCTGCGGTCCCCGTGCTGGCGTTGGCTCGGCAGCGTTCCTCTTCCGCTGGCGGGCGCGTTGGCGTGCGCTCGGCTGCAGGGTCGGGCTGTCTGTCTCCAGCGTCCCCACCCCGGCCTGCATCATGACGGCCGTTGCGCCCTCGTTTGTGTAGTCCGGTCTCGTGTTGGGTCCGAGGGGCGCGCGCAGGAGCTTTTGGATGCAGTCTCGCGTGCTTGGTGTGGGTGAGTCGTGGTCGGTGGTGTTGTGAGCTTGGTAGTCGGGCTGCGTGGTGGTTCGCTCTTCGATTTTTACGCTGCCCCCCGTCGCGTGCCGCCTCAGGTAGAACCGGTCCTCGAGGTAGGTCTGTCGCCTGGAGAAAGATTCCTGCTGCCGCATGGTCTCGGCATGTTCGTGGTAGGCGTGTTCCTCTCTGTTCGCTCTCTCCCTCTTCTCGGTTCGGCGTCTGGAACGACGGTGGTTCCTCGTGGCGCACCGAGTGGGCGAAGGCGAATACCCAGCGCTGCGGAGTCTGAGCGTCTGAAAATCGACCGGTGGGTCTGCGAGTCTGGGTCGGCTGTCTGTGTCTTCGGGCGGCGGGGCAGGTGTGAGGCTGTGCTCGCCTTGAGCCAGGTGGCGGAAGGGGTTCAAGCGGAGGGGGTCGGGGGCAAGTCGTGTCGTTGGGTGGTCGGTCGTGGTCGTGGTCGTGGTTGTCTTTGTCAGCTCGCGGCCTGGACGGGCCCCTCTCCTGACCGAGTTTCTCGCTCCGCGCCCGCCGTGGTGACGAGGTCTTGGCGGGCTCGTCCTTCGCCTCCCGCCTCCCTGCGCCCGTCTCCTTCGCCCAGCCAGCGTCCAGAGGCCTGGTGGCGGGCCTGGGTCCGGTGGGCGCCCCCCTTCGCCCGGAGCACTCCCCATGCTCCGAGCGTCGGCGCGCGGACCCCGTGGCCCCCTGGAGGGCGCCATGCCTGCGCCCCGCGCGCGCCCCTCGCGCGCGCCGGCCGCTGGGCTTGCTTCCCTTGAGCCGTGGAACCGTTCGCCCAGAACTGCCAGCCGTGCGCCCATTCGCCGTGCTCCCGTTCGTGCGTCGGCGGTGGCCGGGCGCCCTGCGCAAGGTGCCAGTTGGGCGCGGCGAAGCCGTGCGCCGAGAGGTGCTCCTTTGCCCTGCTGGCTTGTTGTAAGCGCCCGGGAGCGGCCGGCAGTGGGCCCCGGTCCAGCTCGCTCAGTGCAGCGCAGATCTGGTTTGTGAGCTCGGGGCAGCGTTCGCGGAGCATCTGCGCGCAGTCTGCCCAGGAAGCCCACCAAGCCGCCGGCGCCGTCCTGGACGCGCTTCGCAGGCCGAGCCCCCCCATGCAAAGCGGCAGTTGGCAGCGTTGGCGCGCTGACGTGCCTTCTGCGACAGCTTCTTGCGGGAGTTCCAGCAAGTCGGCGAGCGCGTTGGCCAGGTTGTCGTCGTGCGCTGCGGCGAAGGCGGCCGTGCCCTCGGGAGCCAGCGCCCTCAGGAAGAAGTTGGCCCGGGGGTTGGCGCACATGCTGAGCAGGAGCCACGAGGATTGCAGGTCCCCGACGTGTGGTATCCTCGCGAGCAAGCGGCGGTGTTCTTCCAGGATGGCCTCCAGGTGTTGGGCGACGAAAGCTCCGTGGCCTATCGGGGCCCCCAGAACGACCAAGCCCTGGGCTTCCGGCGGGGTGTCTGCTTCTCCTACCCACACCCGGTCTGCTGCTGAGCCCCGCTCTCGGATGCCAAGTGGCTCCTGCCCTCCCCTGTTCCAGACTCGCGTCTTCCCCATGTCCACGCTGATGCCGCAGTGCGCTTGGAGGGCGTCCCGCACGGCGTTGAAGAGGAACCTCGCTCTGTCTGGCGTGGTGACCAAGTACACGTCGTCAAGGAAGGCGAAGATGCGCTCCCCGGGCCGGAGTCTGCCTTGGACCTGTTGCAGGGCGGAGTGTTGTCCCAATGCAAACGGGGTTGGCATGAGCGGGTCTCCTTGCTCTCCTCCTTCCGCCTGGTCGATCGCGTGCCCGTGTTCCGCGTCGTCGTGTCACCAGTACTGCGATCTTTCCCCGTAGACGAGGCGGCAGAAGGGAAGCAGTGCGCTACCCCTGCCCAGGTTTGCTAATCCTTCGAGCATCGAGTTTCTGGACATGAGGTCGACTGAGGTCGAATCCCCCGATTCCGTCTTTGGAAACCACCGTGGCAGCGGGGTCACCCTGGGTGAGAGTTTGCACGAGGTGCGCCACGCATTCCGTGCCTGCTCGGGTCGAGAGTGCGAACTGGAAGGGGGCAGTCGCCTGCTCGACCTCTTCGCCCACTTGCTGCGCCAGCGTGCGGGCTACCAGCTTCCTGAAGACGTCGCAAGTCACGATGCCTCGCACCCTCCGTTGCTCTTGCGCAGCGCCGTGAGGCGGCCGAGCCGGAGGGCCTCTGCCACGGGGCCAGGGATTTCCGCCCTCGCAAGGAGCGCGGCAGCGTGGTGCAGGAGGTCGCAGCAGTGCTCGTCGTCCAGCAGCGTCTGCAAGTGTTCTCCCGTCATCCCTGAGGGGCCCGGCGCAGCGCCCCGGCGACTCCCGCGCACGTTCGTGAGGAGGCGGTCTGGTTCCAGGCTGGCGAGGCCTTGCGGCGGCGCGCGGGCGGCTCGCTCGCTGAGCTGCTCTCTCGGCTGCTGCAGGCGGCGTGCCGGGTCCCGGAGTTCGTCCAGAGTGGCCTGTGTGCCTGGTGCCATCGCGCTCGCTGTCAGCGCTTGCCGCGCCGCCGAGACCTCGCCGAGGCGGATCAGCTCGCGGGCCCTCTCGCAGCGGCTGCGGAGCTCCTCGTTTTCGTCTGGCGCCCGGCCCCGTCGTGCCTCGGGCGCCCTGCTCTGCCCGTTCGCGTCTCGCTCGGGCGGCCTGCGCGGCGGGCCCGGCTGTGCTTCTGTCAGAAGTTGCGCCCAGTCTCCAGCCTCGAAGCGGGTGAACCTCTCCAGGAGTTGCTCCTTGGGGATCCTTTGCTGCCCCGCCTCTCTCCTCAAGAGCAGTCGTGGGAGCAGGAGGAACAGCTTCCACCCTCTCGCTGCTCCTGTCTCGTCTGCCTCGCCCTCTCGGATCAGCTCCAAAGCTTTGCGCAAGGCGTTGCGGAATGGCCCCCGCGCGAATGCTGGCGCCCGTTGGAGGGTTGGCACGCGGGCCCGGAGCACAGATGCTGCGTCTGTCGCGTCCAGCGCTTCCCTCTCTGCCGCCGTGAAGCGAGCGCGGGCGTGGGCGGGGCGGCGCCCCAGGGGCGCCCGGGGAGGAGCAGGTCGCCCCGCGCCCCCGTCGCGGCGGGGCTGGGCCAGCGGCGCGGGCAGCGCGAGGCCAGAGTTGCTGGAGGCGCTGTCCTCAGTGTCCTCCTCGCTCTCGCTGGCGGTGCTGCTGCTCGAGCTGCCTCCTCCCCCTCCTTCCCCTCCTCTGGTGCCTCTTCCTCTTCGGCCCCCTCTAGCGCCTCGCCCTCTGCTTCCTCTGGCGCCTCTTCCTCCTCTGCCTCCTCGGCCTCTGCCTTCTCCTGGGCCCCCTCCGCTGGCGTCGTCGCTGGGCTGAGGTCCTGCTGGCGCCGCTGGTGGCGGCCTCGGCGGGCGCGGCGCGGCTGCGGCCCACCTGGCCGGGTCGCGGGTCTGCGCGCCGGTCGACCCCCCGCGCCGGCACGACCCCCCCGAAGAGCTCGAGCAAGAGGTCCTGGGCGAGGTTGTGGATGTAGCCAGCGCTGTCCGCCAGCGCTCTGACCACAGGCGGCAGGTGCACGTGTCCAGGGCGTGCTCCGCCCCCAGCGGCGATCACGGCATATATCGCCCCTGGGCTGGCCCCTGCGAACTCCAGCCCTTGGGCGAAGGTCTCGGCTGGCACGGGGTCCGCTTGCTGCAAGGCCTCCACTGTCGGCTGCCACCAGTCGTGCGCGAGTGGGTGCGTGCTCCATCCCGCCGCCTCCTGCTGGTCAAGCAGCCCCGCCGCTGCTAATAGCAAGGGCACGTACACGCGTGAGTTGGTTCGTTCTCGTAGTGGGCCCGCCAGGGGAGGCCATCCGGCGAAGCGGCCAGGCTGCCGTTGCTCTGCGGCGGTGGGCGCCTGTTCTGGGCGCGCCAGTCGAGGGTCTCCTGCGTCTGCTGTTGTCGCGGGCGGCGACGGAGGGGCGGCGACCGCTGGCTCCGGAAGTGGCGTGGCGGCGCAGCCCTCGCAGAGCCAGGCCCCGTGCCATCTCCACGACCCTCCTGTGGCCCTGGCGGCCCTGGCGACCCACTCGATTGGCCCTGGCCGTCCGCAGGGACAGCGCGGCGGTCTCGCGCCCTGCGGCGGCGGCGGTCTCGCGCCCTGCGGCGGCGGCGGTCCGCAGGGACAGCGCAGCGGTCTCTGCAGCACACTTGGCACCAGACGAGGTTTTCTTGCCAGGTCGGCGTCGCTTGTTCCACGCGTGGGCCGTCTAGCGCGATCAAGCCGTCTACGCTTCGTGGTCGCGTTGGTCGGGTGTCTTCCCCTCGGGTGCCAGCCGCGCCAAGGCGTGACCAGGGTCAGGAAAAGGTGGCCCAGGCTTTGACGTTGCGCTGGGCTGCTTCACGGCGATGTTTGGCATATCGTTCCGGGGGGCCGTACCACCCGAGTTCGCTGAGTGGAGCAGGTTGGAAGCTGCAGGGTGCTTCTGCGGGATGGGGTCGGGCGCTCGGGCGCGGCACGGTTCATTTGACACCTTGTGTACCGCTGGCGTTGTGCGGTCAGGCGTTTGGTCAGTCGCTTCGTCGAGCAGGGCACCCGCAGCTGACTATAGTAATTTTCAGCAGTTCTGGTCGCCGCGGGGCGCGTGAAGCGCGAGGCTGACCACGGCACTTGCGGACGGCGTCCGCCGGTTTCGCCGCGAGGAGGCCCGCGCCTCCAATTTTGTCGAACAGCTCAAGCCCGCCCTCACCGCAGCGCGGGTGACAGTGGAGCTGGCTCGCTCCATCGGGGATGGACACGCAGTGCGTCCTCGCGGAGTCGCTCCCCGCTGCAAGGCGACCTGCCTAGGTTAGCCCGCCACGAGTGCATCGCGTCCGCGACACGATTGGTGACCAGGGCGTTCCATCCAAATGGCGGCTCGGATTGGGCGCTCGGCGGCCCTCCCAGCGGGTATGTCGCCCAGAAAGGTTTGTCTTGGCTCACAGTGGACCTGCGAGTGAGCTGTCGAGGGCACCGCTTCCATTAGTAACCGCGCTTGCGTTCCGCGGCCGGCAAATCCATGGACGAACGTGGGCTTTTCCAGTCCTGGCCCTCAACGGGGCAAGGCCGACGGTCGCGCGCCACCCTCCGTGTGCAGTGCCGCCCGTGCAGCCATTCAGGGCACAAGGTTTCTGGAGACACTCGCGCTGATCTGTCTTGCGGGGGCCATGCGGCTGAGGGCGCCGCGCAGCAGAGGGCTCTTGACGCGCCTGTGGCGGGCGCGCCCAGGCTCCTGTGAAGGGCAAGGGGGCGTGCTCTTACGTAGCACGGGCCCCCCTATTCGTCCTCGTGTGTCGCTGTAAATTTCCATGCAGGCACGGCCGTGGAAGTCGAAGAGGCAGCCACGCCTGTGGGTCAGACCGGGGGTGTCAGGGCGACCCCCCTGTCAGTCGATTCTGGGGCGACATAATCTTTACTCTTATTCTGTTTCTCCCACCCCCTACCCTCTCGCAGCGGGTGCCGCCGTGGATGCTCCAGACGACGCTCCGCGCCAAGAAGATGGACTTCCAGCAAATCGTGGGCCACAGCCGGACTCGGATCCCTTGCCACAGGAGCTGGGCGACGAGAAGGCGTTCCGTGGTAAGGTGGTGACAGTGTGGGCTGGTCAAATCAGGACTGGGTGGCCTCGCTGGTTCTTGCAGCCCTGGGCGGAGACACAGCCCAAGTCGCAACTTCCCTCATCAGGTTGGACTCTGCGGGGACGTGGTTCGCCAGCTGCCCCCGATCGGCAGAACGTGACTCTGCGAGGTCAGGCTCTGACTTTTTGCCCGTATGTTTCCATGTTGCTCGGGAGAAGCCACGGCCAAAGTTTCTGACGCCGACGAGTGTAATTATCTGCGTAGTCGGAGGCCCCAGTGTGACCGAACAACCGAGCGCCCGCGTTCGATGGACAAGGTCTGTATGCTCGTGTAGACCTTTACACGAAGGAGCTGCAGGTGTGGCTCGCTTCAAGCAGAACTCGGGAAGCACAACGCGGAGATCCCATCAATCGCTATGCCAAAAACGACCCCGATATCGTCGGACCAGCTGTCCTCAGAGGGCGGCAAGAATTTGAGAAGCGCGTGCCCTTGTCAGAGGACTCGACAGGGTTCCTGGTTCCTAGGGGCGCCGACCTCGACGATGCTGCTTTGGGTGCGGCTGAGCACGTGACAGATGGATCATGCGACTTTGATTTGGTGCGTGGACATCTTTGGGGGCGTGATGAGCGGCCAGTGCCTCCAGGTACAGGCGGCCATCGTAGCCATGGCTTGAAATTCTCGTCGCCTACTGTCGGACATCAAGGAGACGAGGATGGATGCGAGGACCAGGGGTCGGATCACGACGACTTTTAATATATTTTTCTATTAGAGTATTTCGCCACCCTGCCCGAGTCTTGTCGGGAAGACCGGTTCCAGATTGAGGGCAGCAGGTGCATGAACAACAGAAACGTCTTCCTCGTAGCTGAGGTTTTGCCCGGCGACGTGGTTCTACAAGAGAAAGGGGCCGTCGCCCTCCTACGCTCACTACAGTCTGGTACGACAGTACGTACAACAACGGAGACTTGTTCCTGAAGGGGGCATGGTCCAGGGAAACCTTTTGGACAGGGCCGATCGAAGCAGTGGACCAAAAGTATGCTGAGGAGTCGCTCGAAATGTCCCCAATGCGGAGGGGTGGGGCACCGGGCTCGGGACTGCGCGAACGAGCCAGACGAGCGAGGACGTAAGCGACAAGCAGTAGCCAGTGGAGATGGTTAGGTGGCGTTTCCACCTGGAGGGCACTCGACGGCAGCCCGTCGAGAATACACGAGCTCGGGGGAGGCAAACACATTGCCATCAACATTCTTGACTTCCCTGAGGGAGGTGTTGGCAGATGAAGAGGGCGTTCCCAGTTGGGCCTGAGGACTCCGTGTTTTAAGTGAATCCGCGCTCAGCCTCGACTCAAGCCTGTCTTTCGCAGTGGGCGCGAGGGGCCTGGATCAGGAGGCGGCCTCATCCACGCAGCAGCCTCGCGACCCACCACCTTTTTCAAGAAGGCCTCAGCGGGCAGCCCGACGGCTCGGGCACCGAGGAGACCGACTAGGCCGTGTGCACGCACCCCGAGAAGACCACGCGCCATCGGGGCAACAACAAGACCTTGTGGTGGACGTACGACGACCGCCAGATGCGCTGGACGAGGCTTGCTACCGACGGCCTCGCCAGCATGGGCGCCAGAGACCATCTGGAACGAGCGACGTTCGGGATAATTGCGGGCTGCGTTTTCAAGGAGATGTACCAGATGGTGTTCCAGTGCTGCGGGTGGCACAGGAGGACTCGCGAGTCGGGCGACGGAGTATCGCTTCAACAACTCCGACGCTTGGGCATGTGCGCGGCTGGGCGCGGGAGGCGCGAGAACATCATAGACGGGGGCCGCTTCGAGACCGTCGTGGAGGAGCCCGACCTTGGATGGAGTCGTGGGCAGAAGATATTTTCAATGATCGCAGGGTAATTGTACGGAGGCAGCAGGAAACCCACGATGCCCTTAGCAATCCGACCGACTCTGTCGGCCCCCCCATCTGCAAAGAATTTTACCCACGAGCGGGTGACATATGTTGTCTACGCAGGTGGTATTACTATCGAATTTAATCAGGATGCTTGGTCTGAATCGTCCTCTGTCCCTTCCTTGGACAATAATACATGGAATGGCCGCGCTTTAAATCCTTGTTGATGTTCCAGGCGCCGAACATTATAGCGATAATGAAGTACCCGCTCAGCAAGGCCCGGACACCTTCTGCGGACCAGCCGGGCGACCTCAAACTTGCTTTTGATAACTCTGGTCATCCGGGAGCATTGAGATTTCGCTCGACTTCTGCGATGGGGCAGTGCTAAGCACGAGGTAGCGTGCTGGGTGCAGACAAATTTTTCGCGCGACGACTGCGATGGCGGCCAAGTTCCCGCTCGATGCTGCGCCGCATTCTAGGATCAAAATCATATGTTGAAGCGTTTCTTTTCAGTTGGTTGGACATGTGGGGACAGGGAAGTCAGCGGAGGAAGTCTGGCAGGCGCTTGTGCGTGCATTGGCGCGAGGCGCGAGTGTCTTGCATGCCAAAGGTTGTCGTCATTGATCATGGGGCGCAGTGTCAGGGATCGTTTGCCGATGACATGGGAAACAAGGGTGTGTGTGTGTGTGTGTGTGTGTGCCTTTTCCCTGCTGCTGTCCGTTCTCCATGCCAGAACGGTCGAACGGATCCAGATCAAACGCGCGCGCGCGGAAAGACGGGACGGGAAGCAGTACAGATTTTTAAGAAGAACGAGGAGCAGGCGAGGTGCGCGAGAGCTTCCGAGACTTCCTCCAGAGGGCCCTGGAGGAGACTCGCTCCGACTTGGACTTGCAAGATCCCATGGGCGTGGGCGGCATGGGGAATGGGGAGGTCGACGAGGAGCTGCGTGACGAGCAGCACAGGGCCACAGACATGCACAATCCGTGTTCCTTGGGCCGCTTCGACTCCGGAGGCCGATGCATCATGGTTCGCGATGGCGGCGACAGCGATGTCGTGAACTACGCGCCCAGGGGGGATACTGACAAGGAGGCCCTGTCATCCGAGGCCGGGAAGAAGAGAGATGAGAAGGTGTCGGGGTAGCAAGAAGATCACCGACCGCAGAGGCGAAAAGGCGGGGAGGGTACGCCGCGTGGACGACTACAACAAGACTTACGAGGAGTACGTCAATCGCCTCGAGCTCTCTGAGGAGGTCTCGAGGGAGTGGATGCTGTCCGACCCAGGTGCCACATGTTTACCATTTCAAAATGCACGTTGCACCCCTCGTGGCCACGACCCAGAGCCTTCGAGCTGGAGGTGCGTCGTGTTGACCAGGTGCTCACTAGGATGCATGACGCTGAAGGTGGCTCACTGTGCCGTCGGCAGGGGATCTTCCAGCTTCAGGAGGCGGGGGGGGGAAACCTGAGCTAGAATTCAACGGATCAAACTGCAGCGGCACCTCGGCCTGCACCAGATCAGGACGGCATGAATCAAGCATCGTGGCCAGGCGGATCAACTCGAGGGGCTGCGGCGCGAAGTGTTCGACCCAGAGACTGCGAACTCTGCGGGCTACGCTGAAGGGCTGCCTATCTTCCTCTACAAGGTCGCGGTGCGTTCGGAGATGCAACTCTCCCAGCGTGCCAGAATGAACCAGCTCGGGCAGTTCTCGTTTAATTTCCATACCTGGACTTCTCGGAGCTGCTGCTTCAAGACGTAGCTGCGGAATCGACTCCACAGGATCAAGTGCGCCGTGAACGACAAGAAACCACGGTAGCATGATGGCGGACCTGGAGGAAGCAGTGGACACACCGAAGGAAACCCGAGAACTCACCAAGAAGAACCCAGGTCGCACGCCCTGGTTTAAGCGAGCTCGACCTGTTACCGAGGGGGCTACCTAGGCAGGGACAAGCATTGATGGCGCCGTCAGAACAGGAAGACCAAGCGCCAGACCGAGCAGTCCGAGGCGGTCGAGGACGAATGCTTGCACGATTGCGCCGGCGGGCAGGAAGAAGATACCGCGCAGAAGGGAGCCCCGTGGTGGACAACCTGGCGCAGACTCAGGTGACAGCATATGCGGCGGCAGCTTCCTATGGCAGTTCGAGGCGCCCTATGCAGGCTGCGTGTGCTGGAAGCACATTGCCGAGGCTCTGGCCAACATGAGAGGAATAACAATAAGAACCCGAGCCCACTCCAGAGACGCCTCAGGGTGAAGCTCCAATGGCGAGAGGAACCGAACAACTTGCGACAAGAGTGCAGCGTCCTCGCGTCAACGCTTACCTCGCTGACGACACGGCCCAGTACGCGGCTCAGGACACAGCCGAGGAGACAGCCGAGGAGACTGCCAAGGATACCACCGAGGAGAACAAGCCACTCCCCCCAAGGCCGAAGCACGTCGGGGCCGTCGGTTTCTGCGTCCTGTTCCCCGACGATTGCAACGACATCAATGTCCTGGTCCATCGTCGAAGCCCCAAGGTGACGTGCGCGAATGCTGTCGTCACTCCAGCTTGACAAGTCGATCGGAAAGGTTCGGATGTCGGACACAAGCAGAATCTGTATTTCGATTTCGCTGCCAGGTACGCGTCGTCAGGAGCTCGACGAATAAGCTGGACTGCGCATCTTCCCGGACAACCTGGTGGCGATTCCTAGGGGCACGACAACGATCCAACCTCGCAAGAACTACCGTTTCCTCCACTTGGGGCAAGCCGAGGTGAAGGGACCGCGGTATCGTTATCGCAATGAGGTGGTGTATTGGGATACCCTGCCGCAGGCAACTGCCATTTCTGGACCAACGTGTGCGACCTCGTTGCGCTGCCAGAGCTTCTACCAGAATGTGAGCAGCGACTGCTCTACATCGCGACAGTGGATCAGGAGAGGATCCTGCAGATGCAGCAAGACATGGCGTTGTAAGCGGAGGTGATGAAGGACGAGCCGTCTGGGCTCGGAAGGAACGGACGCTGGCCTACCGATAATGTGATCATTACCTGATGTTGACGTGCCTTGCTCAGCCGAGCGCCCAGGATCCGACCCTCGACAAGCCCTTCAATCATCCCATGTTGGAGATGATGGCCGTGCATCTTGCATATCCGAGACAGCCGATTTTTCGTATTTGGCTGAAGTTGTGGACGCAAGTGCCACTCGACATCGCCCTGGGTCTGATTGAATCGTGCAATACGTATGAGTATGAGATCGTGCAGTACTTCCTGAGGGCAGGAGACGAGAGCGGTGATTGCGAGGCACTCTACGCGTACTTCCAGGTGTGCGCGGGGACCGAGACCCGGGAGCTTTCCGACCCTCGCCCGGTGGCAGATCTCGTCTGTGCGCCATTTGGTGACCTGCCTGGCTGGGCCCCCGCAGCGCTGGCCATCGCCCCCAGCATGGAGGGGGAGCTGGCGAAAGAAGGTGAGAAGGCCATCGGAGACATTTGGGCTGTATCAAGATCCTCGGCGAGAAAACAGGAGAGAGGAGATGGAACACAAAGTGGAGAACCGCAGCGAGTCGTCAAGTGCTGTGGGGATTCGCATTGGCTTCGCCGAGAACATTTCACCAATGGGTGGAACCGTCTCCGAGGCCATGAAGGCTGTGGTGACTATTGACCACTGCGCCGCTGCTCGAGGAGTGGAAGAACCTCCAGCAGAGAAGGGTGATATACTTTTTGGACCTGAAGACAAGTACATCAGTGCCCACTGGAGGAAGGCCTACAAGCTGTCCTGGAAAAACATGTCTGTCTTCAACCAGAGAATGAGCGACCACTGGAAGACGTGTCATAAGGTCGACGCGGCGAGGGGCCCTCGACGCCCTCCTTCACGATGGAAGTTTTGGCCGCGTTGGTTCTGGAAGCTCAATTTTGGGGACCCTCGTCCCCAATGGGTCCCGCTTTGCACGTGAGCATCTCTCAGGACTCATCGATGGTCCGCATGTCAAGGGGCCAATGGCGCATCCAACCGGGCAGTGATGGATGATGGATATGGCACCGATATTCGCTACGGAGATGCAGCACGACAAGGAGCTCAACAAGAAGGAAGCCCAGATCGAGTCTGCTTACCACGGTGCCAACTTGGCAGCACTGGCATGTATCTGGAGCATGAAGGGCCTGTTCGATTTGAAACCAGGACCTTCGAGCTGCGAAAACGTCTGCGACATTTTCTGCGAAAAGGGCACTTCGCCGTGCCTCTTGCACCCGCTGCATGGTGCATGTGTCGTCTGACGCCAGCCTTGATGTGACACTGTTCTCTGGCATTTTCGAGCTGCCAGTGGATCGCAATCGTCGTGCAGGCTGCCCCAGGATGCATGTCCACAGGCAGTGGTGCCAGACCGAAGGCAGCGTCTGCGTCAATGCGCATTGGATGTGCAGTGCGACGATGAGGGAGATCTGGGACAAGGTACAGGCGAAGCAGCAAGTTTTTGGATGGTACAGGCTCTGGAGTCGCACGGTCAGGATGCACCTCGCGGCAAAGGCCATGCCGACAGCGTTTCCGAGTGTCCACGCGTACCCAGACGAGTCGATCGAGGACTCCGACTTCCCGGTTCTCGAGGTCAAGCTCGTTCTTAGGCACGAGGGCTGGGTTCCTCAGTGGACCGAGGAGCTCAGTGCAGCACATCGTTTCCTAGGGCGCACTGGCCGACAGTACGACCGACGCGGGGTCGAGCCACAGAGTTTCCTGGATCAGATGAGGCAGGTTGCGGACGCAGCAAAGTCGGAAGACCTCATCATGGACCCTGGCTCGGACAATCTTTCCAAAGATCTTTCCTAGATATTCTCTCGTGACATACGTGTTCGTGGAGCTGTGCCGGCTGCGAGCCGCTGAGGCTCTTGTAGTGCGTGGAATGGTTGCGGTACTTACTGGCAGAGGAATTTCATGTTCTGCGGCGAGGCGGCGTTTTGGCTGCAAGAAGGGTAGGAACTGCGGTTGTTATGCCCCTGTCAGCCTCTCCTTCTCCTGCGCTCCTCCCTGTGCCCTCTTGTGCGCCGCCGTGTCGGCTCGCAAGGGCCCTTGAGCTATCGTGGCGCGCCGGTGACGCACGCGCCCATGCCTCCGTGGAAGGAAGGAGAACGTGCTCTCCTCTAGCACGGCCCCCCCTGCCTGTACCTCGTGTCTCTCTGTATCCAGGCAGTCGCCCCCGTGCAATCCGCAATCTCGCAACACCCTGGGGTGAACAGGAACGCCGCCTGCAGGGGGGCGTCCGTGCGCGGCCCCGTCGGTGAAAGGAAGCAGTCCGGCGCGTCCGGGGCAGGCGGACCGCAGCTGGATCGGCCCGATTGGACCCCGGACGCCAGTTCAGCGCGCGGTCTCGCGCGTCGCAGGTAGAACAGCTCAGCGCTGCCCGTGAGGTGTCCTCGCTGAGGTATCTCCAGGGTGCGTGCGACCTAGAGTTTGGCCACGCAGCTACCCGCATTGCCCGTGGATGTCAACGTGGGGGTGCTGCTTTGTGCTGTGCTTTCTCCTGCGAGCTTTTTTGGGGTCCCGCGCGCACTTGCCGGAGTGGAGCTGCTGCTCTCTGTCGTGCTGCTCTCGCCGCTGGTCGTGGAGCTCCCCGCTGTGCTACTGGTGCCGCGAGGCTGCTGCTGATGCTGCTGCCCCCACCCGCCGTTGCCGATGGAGAGCTCAGCGCTGTGCTCTTGATCTGGGGCTAACGGCTGGTGCTGCCTGATCCCGCCGTGCTGTATAACGTTGTCGTGCTCGTCTGCGTCGTGGTGCGTCGTGGTGCGTTGCCGCTTTACGGCGTTGTCCTGCAAGATGTGGTGCTTGTCCCCTGGCCGTGGCACTCGGGGACGAGCGGCTGTTGCTGCTGGTTCCTGCTGCGCTGGTGCTACTTAGCGTTGTGCTGCTTGTAGCGGTCGCAGTCGTAACTCTCGTGGTGCTGCTCTCGCTTGTACTGCTCACCGACGTGCTCGACAGAGTGGTGCTGCTGTGGTCCCGCTAGTGCTCGTAACGCTGGTGCCACTGGTCTCCGTCGTGCTGGTTCGCGTGGTGCCGCAGGCAGGGCTGGTTCTTCTTCGGTTGGTGCTGCTGATTCCCGCCCTGCTGCTGGTTGCGCTTGTGCTGTTAGCGTGGTGCTGCTGGTAGCGGCCGTAGTCGTACCTCTCGTGGGACCGTTCTCTCTTGTATTGCTCACTGATGTGCTCGTCATAGTTGTGCTGTTGTGGCGTTCGTATTCGTAACTCTCGTGGTTCTGCTGCCACTCGTACCGCTAACCGACGTTTTTTCGGTAGCGGTCGTGGTCGTAATTTTCGTGTTGCTGCTCTGACTTGTACTGCTCGCCGATGTACTTATCAGAGTGGTGCTCCAAGTCCTACTGGTGCTGATGGCGCTGGTGCTGCTGGTCTCCATCGTTCAGGCCCGCGTGGTACCGAAATTCGCGCTGGTGCCACTTCGGGTGGTGCTGACGGTTCCCGTCATGCTGCTGGTTGCGCGTTGCGGCTGTGCGTGGTGCTACTTGTAGCGGTCGTGGTCGCAGGCCCCGTGGTGCTGCTTTCCAGTTGTACTGCTCACCAACGTGCTGGTCTGAGTGGTGCTCTGGTAGCGGTCGTAGTCGTAACTCGCGTGGTGCTCCTCTCACTCGTGCTGCTCATCGACGTGCTTCTCAGAGTGGTGTTGCTGGTTCCACCTGTGCTCGTAACGCTGGTGCTGCTGGTCTCCGCCGTGCTGGTCCGCGTGGTACCGCCAGCAAGGCTGGTGCTACTTCGGGTGGTGCTGCTGGTTGCTCTAGTGCTGCTGGGCGTGGCGCTGCTGGTTGCGGTCGTTGTCGTGGCGCTGGTGCTGCTGCCGTCACTTGTACTGCTCGCCGATGAGCTTCTCAGAGTGGTGCTGCTAGCATTGGTCTTAGTCACAACTGTCGTGGTGCTGCCCTGACTCGTACTCCTGCCCGACTTGCTTGTGAGCGTGGTGCTGCTGGTCCCGCTGGTTCTGGTACCGCATGTCGCGTAGGTGCTCCTTCGGGAAGTGCTGCCGATCTCCGTCATGCTGCTGGTTGCGCTGGCACTGCTGGGCGTGGTCCTGCTGGTAGCGGTCGTAGTCGTAATTTTCGTGGGATGGGTTCAACTGGGCAGGTAATTTTCACGGTTCCCCTTCCCTGGGACTCGCCCGCAAGAGGTCTGGCGTGTTTTGCAGCGCCGCGCGTGTTCTCGCCGTCGGGGTCCAGCAGACATGCTCCATGATGCGCAATATTTTTTTGTGTCTTGTTTGTCACCTCGGCCATGTCCTCGCCTGCCCCGATCCGCCCTCCTCCGCCCGCTGGCCCCCCCGGCCCGCCTCCCTTCCCTCCCGCCACTTCCGTCCCCACTTCTCCCCTTCCCGCCCCCTCCCTCCTTCCCTCCCGCCCCCTCCCGTCCCCTCCGTTCCTCCTGCGCCCTCCTTCTCCCCCTCCCGCCCTTTCCTTCCCTCCCGCCCCCTCCGCCCCTCCTTTCCCGCCCCTCCCTTCCCCGGGCGCGTGGTGCCGTTGGCCGCCGGAAGCTGGGCCTGCCCGCCTCGCGCGCCGCGCCCCGGGGCGGCGCGCCGCCTGCCCTCCCCTGGGGCGGCGCCGCCGGCGAGGGCGCCCCGCGAGTCCGGCCGCGCCCCGCGGTGGGGGGCGTCGGCTGCGGAGAAATACCCAGAGATCTAACGCACTGAAAAAATCAAGACGGAGGTTTTTCACAATTTTCGGCCTCAAGGGGCCCTCGCCGGGCCCCGGGACCGTCAAAAAACGATTCGGGATGAAAAACCGGCCCTGGGGAACGGGTCGAGACCTCCGGGGGCCCCGTATTGAAAAAATCACGACGTCGGATCTCTGGGTATCTAGGCCTCTCAGATGGGGTCGGAGTAGATGGCGTCGCTGGATCTAGCCGCAACGCCAATGCGGCTCGTGTGGAGCCCGTGTTTGCCCGCACCGACGCCGAAAAGAGGCGTTGCTGACGTCGTCGACGCATCGCCAGCGCATCGCCGACGCCTCGCCGATGCGTCGCCGATGTATCGTCGATGCGGCGCGATCCTCCGACCGCATCTACTCCGACCGCATCTAGGAGGCCCCTAAGTCGCAAAAGTAGGCGCAGGCGTCATCCGGGGCCGGCAGTTCCTTCGCATTTCGGTTGCACAAGATGGTGGGCGGCGCCCGTGTCTCGCTTTTGCTTCGGAGACCATGGTCAGATTCGCTGTCCGCGGCGGGCCGGGTTGCCCGGGCACTGGCGCTCGTTCTGGCGGGCTGGGGTGCGCGCCGGCGGAAGCCGCCCTGGCGGCCGTTCTCGTGGGGCGGAAGATGGGCGGACGCGACGGGCACCCGAAGGTGGACATGTCGTTCTGTGTGTCGCTGGGCCAGCGCCGCCGCGACGCCCCCTGGCAGGTGGGCTTGCTGGGCGCGCCAAGGGGCCTGCCGGGGGGCCATCCGCAGCTCGCTCAGCGCCCCGGTCGACCAGTCTTGCAGGTCCGATTTGGCCGCCGCTCGCGGGGCCGTGGCGGCGGCCCTTCGCAGGTGGGGCCCCCCTCTCGCCCCGCCCGAAGCGTTGGCAAAGTTATCGTTAATTGGTGTGTACTTCCTTGCTCGCCGACGTCGCGCAGGTCTGTCATGCTCCAGCATTCTGTTGCGTTTTATCCCGGGGTGCAGGTGGCTTCGCACGCGAGTTAATTCTTCGCTTCGTTGCTCTTCGTTTCTCGCCCACTCACCGCAGGAGTTCCGTGCTTCCTGCTGCCGGGGGCGCGGGGCGCTGATCGGGTGTGTCGAGAGTGGGGGGAAGTGCTGCGGCGTGCGGGATGGGCGCGGAATTCGCAGTGCGCAGCTTGCGCGGGCCCCGCCCTCGGGCGAACTCCCTGATGCATCGCCGTCTCTTGCGCTGGGGGCGTCGGGGGCGCCCCCCATTGCCGTTCCTTTTCTAGTCCGCGCCGACTTGCTCGTTTGCCGACGTGCGCGGGGGCGCCGGCTGCTGGGCGCCGGGGTCGCTGCCGAGGCCTCGCGTGAGGCGCTCCAGAAGACCCTTTGCTTCCTGGCACAGCGAGCGCTGCCTGCCCTTGTCGATCCGATCCCGTTGAGTGCAGCGCGCCGCAATGCTCGGCGCGCCCGAGGCGGCGGCGTGGGTCGCGCTGGCGCAGACCGCGGCTTAGGCGACATGGTTGCCGGGGATCTGCCCGAAGTCGCCCGCGGAGTCTCCGCCGCGGCAGTGGGCCTGGGGGCCGCCCGCGCCGCGCTCGCGCGCCGCGGGCGCCGGCCGTCTGCTGCCGCGCATGCGCGCTCAAGACTTCTGCCAGCTTCCGCGGGGCGGCCCGCCGAGCGCTGCAGCTCGCGACGTCGCGGCGCGCGGCTCCACTTTTGCGCCGCGCTTGCGCTGGCCATCGTGCGCCGACGCCGGCGCGCGGAAGACCCCGGCGCGTTGGTGTCCGGCGCGCGAGGGTCTGGCGCGTGGAGATCCGGCGCGCGAGAATCCAGCGCGCGGGGGTCCAGCGCGTGGGCCCGCAGACGCTGTCGCGCAGGTGTCCGGCGCGCAGGGCTACTGCGGCGTCGGCGCGGGGCCCGAAACGCCGCGCCCGCGCCGGGCCGGGGATTCGCGAGCGCTGGTGCGGGATCGGAAGTGGCGCCGCCGCGCCAGCGGTGGCTCGGATGGCAGCCCATGCAGCCCCCGAGGGCGGCAGCTTCCGAGGCGCCCGCCAGGTTGCTCGCCCGGCTCCAGCGCGCTGGCCGCAGGCGACATTCTCAGACGTAGCGCAATCCTGGCGAGGTAAGCGGGCTCTGTTCGCTGGCGTCCCGCGGAGTCTGGGCGGCGGTCATTGCGGGGGTTTGAAGAAAGTGGAGATTCGCAGCCGCGCGAACGGGGCCAGGCCCTACAGGCTGCGAGCTGGTGCGCGGTTCGTGAATCTGACGACGCGCGGTGGGCGCGGGGATGTTTTTTTGTTTTTTGTGTTGCGGGGCGCGCTTTCGGATAAAGCAGCGCTGAGTAGCGCCCAGTGCGGCGCTGTCGTGCCTGGAGATGCGCACAATGACCCAAACTGTCGGCGCGCAGCGTGCGCGTCGCCGTGGAGATCCAGGCGGGCCAGCCTCGGCGGCGTCCTTATCGCGGGATTCCAGCGATTCGCCAGGCCCGTGCTGGCAGTTGGGGGCAACGTGATGCCAGTGCTGACAGGCAAGGGCGCGCGCGTCGAGATTGCGGCGCGGGTGTCGGCGGGGCGCCCGTGGCGCGTCGAAGGCGAAGTTGCTCGCGGGAAAAGCGGCGCTGCTCTTGATGCCGATGAGCACGCGCCCAGCCCAGCGGCCGTGGACCTGCGCGCGCGCGCGGGGGCGGCGCACGGGCGCGTCGAGCCGGCGCGCGGCGTATCCAGCGCGCGGGGCGTCCCGCGGCGCGTTGCGAGCGAGTTGGCGACGATGCTGGCGTCGGGCGCCTGGGCCAGCGGGCGGGGCCGAGCCGTCGCGCAGGTCGGCGCGCGGCAAATCCAGCGCGCGGGGCCAGCGAATGGCGCGCGGCGGGCCGCCGCCGAGCAGCAGTGCACGCGTCGGCCCTCCCGCGCTCGTCGGCAAACCTTCTGCCGCGTTTGCCGAGCCGCCCTAAGTTTTTAACTGGCAGCTTTTGCTGATAGGTTTCTAGTAGTGTCAAAAGAGAGCATCTTGATGCCCCGAGGGGGTCTGGGCGGGATCCGGACAAAACCGGACAAAAGGGTCAGCCCCAGGAACCCTTTGGAATCTTCAGGAAGTCTCAGGAATCCTTAGGAATCCATTCCCAGAGCGCTTTTCCCAGGCCACATTTTGAATGCCCGGAGCCAACTGTCGGCCACTTCGTGTTCTTCGTGTTCCCAGAACACCATTCCCAGGCCACATTTTGAATGCCCGGAGCCACCTGTAGGCCACTTCGTGTTCTTCGTGTCCCTTGAACACCATTCCCAGGCCACATTTTGAATGCCCGGAGCCACCTGTAGGCCACTTCGTGTTCTTCGTGTCCCTTGAACACCATTTCCAGGCCACATTTTAAATGCCGGGAGCCAACGGTAAACCACTTCGTGTTCTTCGTGCTCCCAGAACACAAATTCCTGTACCATATTTCAATTGCCCGGAGCCACCTGTGGGCCACTTCGTGATGTTCGTGTTTCCAGAACACCAGTCCTGTGCCATCTTTTGAATGCCCGAGCTGAGGCAGGCTGAGGCCGAGGCAGGCTGAGGCCGAGGCAGGTTGAGGCCGAGGCAGGCTCAGGAGGCTGAGGCAGGCTGAGGCTGAGGTTGAGGCTGATGCAAGCTGAGGCTGAGAGGCTGGCGCTGAGGCTGAGGCTGAGGCAGGCTGAGGCTGAGGCTGAGGCCGAGGCAGGTTGAGGCTGAGGCTGAAGCAAGCCGAGGCAGGTTGAGGCTGAGGCTGAGGCTGAGGCTGAGGCTGAGGCTGAGGCAGTGGCTGAGGCTGAGGCAAGCTGCGGGTGAGGCAGGCTGAGGCTGAGGCTGATGCAGGCTGAGGCTGAGGCAGACTGAGGCTGAGGCTGAGGCTGAGGCAGGCTGAGGCTGAGGCTGAGGCTGAGGCTGATTCAGGCTGAGGCTGAGAGGCTGACGCTGAGGCTGAGGCAGGCTGAGGCTGAGGCTGAGGCCGAGGCAGGCTGGGGCTGAGGCTGAGGCAAGCCGAGGCAGGCTGAGGCTGAGGCTGAAGCTGAGGCAGGCTGAGGCTGAGGCTGAGGCTGTGGCTGAGGCTGAGGCAAGCTGCGGGTGAGGCAGGCTGAGGCTGAGGCTGATGCAGGCTGAGGCTGAGGCAGGCTGAGGCTGAGGCTGAGGCAGGCTGAGGCTGAGGCTGAGGCTGAGGCTGAGGCTGAGGCCGAGGCAGGCTGATGCTGAGGCCGAGGCAAGCCGAGGTAGGCTGAGGCTGAGGCTGAGGCTGATGCTGAGGCAGGCTGAGGCTGAGACAGGCTGAGGCTGAGGCTCAGGCAGGCTGAGGCTGAGGCAGGCTCAGGCTGAGGCCGAGGCAGGCGAATCCTTCGGAATCCTTCGGATT